TAATAATAATAATAGCGGCAGCAGCAGCAGCAGCAACGCTTATATCCCTCAGAAAGGCGAAGGCCAACCTCGGACTATGATAGGTTGAAACACACACACACCATTACTCCACCGCGGAGGATACTCATTCGGCCATAGCCATCATCCTCATCACTCCCTTCCCCCCCGCCATCCTTCTATACCCTTTTCGGCTTCGGTTGTGAACACTAACCCGCCTTCCCGCTCTCCTTCTCCCCACACCTGCCGCTTCCTCTCGCTCGTCTGACTTTCCTCGGGCTCACGGCTAACACTCAATGGAGGGCTCGGGTACTACGGGTGTTTCTGATTGGTTCAGCTTCTAGAAAGCAAGCGTCTGGGCCAATCAGAAGGGGCTCTATCGAAAGCCTTTCCACGCCCCTCTAGGCTAAGGGCGTAAGATCGCAGCCAGAGTACGGCGGGGAAGGTAACACGCACATATACTCACTCAGGCACAACGATCGACGATAGGGGCGCGGCTGGTTCTGATTTGACGAAACGGTGTGACAATCATATAGGATAACCAATCAATGGCCGCAATGAACCAAGGGGGTGGAACACAGTTCGAGGCCGTGTTGTCATACTTACTAAGCAAGTAGGAAGGTCCGAAGAGGCATAAACAACGTTAAAGAGTTCCGCACAGTCGTCGTTTCCGGTTGGAACGTTATAAAAGGGACATAGATACAATAATGTGTAGAGTCGCGTTTTGAGCGTCTTTTGCATGTCTTGATGGTAGACGTGAAACGTCGCCTGGAATATATCACACGCAATTAGGCGTTATATCTAAATAAAACAAGCAAGAATTTAAGGATAAAATTATACAGCATCTATAAAGAATGGTTCCCCCCCCTCCCCACAGTTTTTCTGAGTAAAATACTATTGCTTTTCTTATTGGGCTCATACGAGCAAATTAAGAACAATGCTTTTGGGTAGGTTTTCAAGAATAGGAGTACTTAGGGTTGCCATGTTCCAGCTCCCCAGTCTGGACCACCTAACTTGCACCTTGTGCATGTCATGTAAAATTAGGTCGCGTTGGTGGTGTACTATGAAAATTAATTATTATGCAGTCACAGACCAGATTAGAAAATTTATGTTTGTGTTACTCTTCATCCAACCCATTTCAATCTGGGATCGTTTACTGTATATCAGAACCACTGATCAGAGTGAGCCAGTATAGTATAAAGGTTGAATGCTGGACTTGGAAAAAAGAGACCCAAATTCAGATATTCTTAGTTCCAAAGCTTAGTTCATGGTCTTCACCAGTCTTAGCCTAACCTTTTTAACTACAATGTTATTTTGGAATAAAATGGGGGAGAGGGCTACTGTGGATATATTGTTGACACATGTTAAGCAAAATAATAATTAAAATGTAATTTTGCCCCACTCCTGAGCTTCTAGTGATTTTGTCATTAGGTGTTTGGAATTTCTGGTGTCAGTTTTTACTGATGGCCAACTCCATCTCAGCCCAAGATCCTTGAGAGTACCATAGGTAATGTAATATCATCTGCTTTGCAGGGAAAAGTATAGGAGAAAGTGAGGTCAAACTGCAAAAATCAGGATAAAAATAAGATGTCATTTCCTTCAGAAATATGGATAGGATATTTTATTATAATTAATATAACTGCCATATTAAATTGTGTGTACGCCACGTGTGGATGCTAAAACAAGTGCCAATCCAGTGTGGCACCTCCCTCCCATTTTGCTTCTCCTTCTCAATACAAATCCTCCCTTACTGTCTTCCCCATGCTAGCTGCTGATTTGTTTCACTGCTATGAGTTACATATTGCTTTTCCTTTCTCTCTTTTTTTTTGATAGGAAATGAGATTCATAGCAAAACCTGAAAGATTACTTTCTGAACAACACCATCCAAAGCACCCTCTGTCAGAATAATCACTTGATATGTTAGCTATGGTATGCTGGTTATTGTAGTCCAAATAAAGAATTGCAGACTACACGTACAGTTAGTTCTACATCACTTATCATAACTTTTCATTGCCTGAAACTTGTTTTCAAAAACTTAAGATTCATAACCAACATAAGCTCAATAAGCTCAAAAACATCAGTAATAGATGTGGAAACTTTACATACAAGAGATAAAAACCTGTTCTCCCACCCCACCCCATGAAAGTGTGGAATCTGGGCCAGTTTATTGTCTAAACAGGCATTAAGTGGCATACTTAACATATGGGTAAAACCAAGATTATCAGATTATAGGGCAGCTCCAGTTAACCACACTCTCCACAATTCTACTCCAGGCCTCATGCCTACTGTTAAATATTTTTGAACATCTAATTTGATGTTCATTTAGGGTCATCCCTATAATCAGGGAGAGCAGTCACTACAGGACTTTATTGTACTGACTGAGATATTTGTGTGATTTTCTGGTGTAGATGCCTAAATAACTTGATAAGCCTTAGCTACTATGAGTAAGACGGCAATGTCTGCAGCACCAGAAGAAGTGCACCACCAATACCACATGGCGGCGGTGGGTGTTCCATAGATTTGCATCACATCTGCATATGCTTATGCTACTTTATATGTTGTTTAGTTGTTTAGTCATGTCTGACTCTTTGTGACCCCCATGGACCAGAGCATGCCAGGCCCGCCTATCTTCCACTGCTTCCCGGAGTTGGGTCAAATTCATGTTGGTTGCTTCGATGACACTGTCCAACCACTTCATCTTCTGCAGTCCCCTTCTTCTCTTGCCTTCACATTTTCCCAACATCAGGGTCTTTTCCGGGGAGTCTTCTCTTCTCATGAGATGGCCAAAGTATTGGAGCCTCAGCTTCAGGATCTGTCTTTACAGTGAGCACTCAGAGCTGATTTTCTCTAGAATGGATAGGTTTGTTCTCTTTGCAGTCCAGGGGACTCTCAAAAGCCTCCTCCAGCACCACAATTCAAAAGCATCAATTCTTCAGTGGTCAGCTTTCTTTATGGTCGAGCTCTCACTTCTATACATCGCTGCTGGAAAAACCATAGCTTTGACTATGCGGACCTTTGTTGGCAAGGGGATGTCTCTGCTTTTAAAGATGCTGTTGAGGTTTGTCATCGCTTTCCTCCCAAGATGGCAGAAAGGGAGGAGGAATTAAAGAACCTCTTAATGAGGGTGAAAGAGGAGAGTGCAAAAAATGATCTGAAGCTCAACATAAAAAAAAACCAAGACCATGGCCACTGGTCCCATCACCTCCTGGCAAATAGAAGGGGAAGATATGGAGGCAGAGACAGATTTTACTTTCTTGGGCTCCATGATCACTGCAGATGGTGAAAGCAGCCATGAAATTAAAAGACACCTGCTAATTACAACATCACCATTCCTCAGCAAAGACTGAGGAAGTGATTTGTTCTTCCCACTGTCTAGGTGTGAACTGTGACTGAGCAGTCATTCAAAAAGTGAACATCGAGTGGCATGTGCTGTTAAGTCACTTCTTATTTATGTGAGATGTTCAAGGAGTGGTTTAGCACTGCCACACATACACCTCCTAGTGAATTTCCATGACTGAGCTCACACTCAAACCCTGATCTCCTGCATCCAGATTTGACACACTAGCCTCTATACCCCACTACTGAATTAGATGCAAAAATAGCCTGATATGGTGTCAAACAGATGCCCCACCAGTGGCATCTCTGTTTGTAAAAAAAACAAGACCAATCATGCAGTTCTCCACATTTAATCTAGTTTAACCCTAAGAAGTCAACCTTTCATGTGCTTGATTGCATAGCATGTCTTCTTCTCCTTGATGGCTTTTCTTTCTTTCTTTCTTTCTTTCTTTCTTTCTTTCTTTCTTTCTTTCTTTCTTTCTTTCTTTCTTTCTTTCTTTCTTTCTTTCTTTCTTTTTCTTTTTCTTTTTTTTTTTCTTTTTCTTTTTCTTTTTCTTTTTCTTTTTCTTCTTTTTCTTTTTCTTTTTCTTTCTTTTCTTTTCTTTTCTTTTGCAAGTGTTCCCAGCCTGGACCTCTTTATAAATTAACTCACTAACAGTAGCTGTTGCTTTTGAAAAGTAATGTATTACTCACTTCTTTTTATAGGGTTTCAGTAAGCACTTTTAACACAGGCATTTTTGACAGGGCCTTAGGTAATGACAGAAAGAAATTATTTCTTTTTTTTTGTTCTTTTTTTAAAAAGAGGAACATGGCCAAACTACCACATCAATTCCAAACAAGATTTTAGAAGTTAAAGCTCCAAATTAGTCTAGTCCCCACTGTTATAGCTCTCCTTAGCAATAATGTTATGCTCTCCTTAGCAAACAAGAATGTAAACAAGAATGTAAATAGATTAATTATAGGTAACTTCATTACTTGTTTTGCATTACCTCCAAGCTCAAATAGTGCCTCAGAGAGCTTGATGTATTTTTCTTCTAAAATAGCCGTATACAACCAGAAGAAAAGTGAATTAGGTTGAACAGGAGTAGTGGTAAATAATCACTTCTAACATATGCTCTCCTTAGATGATATTGGGAAGATCTGCCATTGTAATACATGCTTTGCTTGTATAAAAAAATCCGTTATGGATTATCGCTTTAAAAAACTTAAATTGCTTGAGATGGCAGTTTGTAGTACTCTCCAATTCCCATGAAAAACCCAGCTTGCTTGTATCAGTTTAAAAAGTATTCCCTTTTAAAAGCAGTACTGCTGATTTAACAGAAGGTGTCAATGCTGCTCTTTGTTGGTTTAGAGTGTCACGTCTTGTGTAGGACTATTTAAAGAATATAACCTCTTGTATTCTCAAAGGCTTTCATGGCCGGGATCCGATGGTAATTGTAGGTTTTTCAGGCTGTCTTGCTGTGTTCTTGAAGTCCCTCAAGTACACCACCAGACAGTCCAAAAAACCTACAACAACCATTTATATAATCTCTTCCTTTTGCCTTTATTTTTGATTTGGATCCGCTAACTGCTGTTTTATAGAAGCTCTGTCTATATTTTATACAGTAAGCAGGGATGTTGACATGTCTTTGGGTCTGAGTCCCAAGTCTAAGTCTGAGTCTTTGGTTTTAAGTCCCAAGTCCCTATTAAAAATAAGGAGTTTTTTGTTTTTTGTTTTTGCGTCCAATCCAAGAGAGTGCTGGACCAAATATACACCAGGCTTCACACTGAAAACACACACACCCAAAACGTAGATTGTATTTCACACTTTGAAGAAAATCCTTTTAGTGAACATACAATAAAAGCTGGGAAAAAACTGATATTGACTCTTGCAGAAACAAAAAAAACCCTCACGGAATAGACACTATAACCGAGCTTGACATGGCAAGAAGCAGCCAGAAAACACTATAACAGAGCTTGACAAGCCAGAAAGCTTGGAGACTACTGAAAAG